ATCTGGAAGTTCATGCTACAAACAAAAGCCTTGGAACAAGGCCTAGGAGCCTTGCTTTCTTAGGACTTTGAGGTTGCGGAACACTGGGTCCTGTATCTAAACCAGAAACTCCTTCTGCGAGCAAAAGTACTCTGTGATCAAAAAGTGTGTGTTGGGGGCGAGGAGGCCTGTGCACGTAGCAGTGAGTGGGGCTCCCCCCAGAGGCACATGGTGTGCACACATGGTGTGTGTGGGGAGGGGTGTGAGGTTTGGGAGGTGTGTGGGTGGGTGCAGTGTTTGTGGTGATTGTGAGTGGGGGAGGGTTCGTGGGTATGGTGGGGTGTGCAGGGGAGCCCCCCCTGTACATGCTCCCCTGAACTGGCCAGCACCTATCCCTGCCCCACAACAGCCCAGAGCCCATGCAGCCTGTGGTGCCTCCCCACCACTGCCAACAGCACACAGCCCCAGCCTTGCCCCACGCCCACCCTGAACTCACCCTAGTGGGACCAGATCAGCCAGAACCCATGCACACAGCCCTAATCCCAGCCCACCCGCACCTACTCTGCAGCGCCTGCCCATGGTGCATCCTGCTGCACCCTGGGTGTACAGTGGGGCTGCAGTGGCTCTGCAGCTGGACTGCCTTTCTAGACAGCCCAGGCAGCAGTGATGGCTTCTTCTGGCTGCTGCCACCAGCCCCATGGTACCAGGGTGAACCTCATGCATGGCCTTGACCTGGCCTGTCCTGCACCTGCCCTGGGCTTGCACACGATGAGGATCAGCAGAGGCAGCTGGGCAGAAACTGTTGCTCAGTGCGTGGGGAAAAATGACCCCTGCCCCTCACTGCTGCTGGGCCCTTTCTGCTGCAGCCTCCTGGAGCCTGTGCTGGGCTGCCCTGTGCCTCCGTCGCTGTTACCACTGCTGTTTGGAGCAGCGGCTGGGTACCCTGGGTGCAGGCTCCTGGCAGCTGTAGCAGGAAGCACCCGGCAGCGGTAAGAGGGAGGGGCCCCTTTTCCCCTGCTCTGAACAACGGTTTCTGCCCGGCTGCCACTGACACTGCTCAGTGTGGGTGAGTCTGGAGCAGGTGCGGGGTGGGCCGGGTTGGGGCTGCGCGCATGGCTTCCCCCAATACCATGGGGCTGGGACCAG